TAGAGGATAGGGTTAAATGTGATGGCGGCGGCGGTCTGCAGGCTGCCACGTCCCTCACATTTGAGAACGATAACATCACCCCGGTTGATGGCCGTTAACTTCGGCATCAGTGGAAACGTTCGCTGCCGTGGAAGCAGGCCCAGGAAACTGCGACAACAGCAAATGACAGCTCCACCCAGTCCTGAAGCCACCATCACTATCAACAGACAAGAGGCACAGATAAGCGCGGACTCTATGAAACCCCCAGAAACCACCGTGGGGAAAAACATGGTTGGGCCGGTTCCACTGGAGCTGGCCGTCCCACAGCAAGCTTCGCCATTACGCACCACCCCCTTCGGTCTGCAACCATCAAGACACCCCATGGTGCTGTGCATGTGATCCCTATGGGTTACAACACACTACGGGAATTACAAGGCAGTGCTTGGATTCGCCGCACAACACCTGGAGTATTTAGTGACCATAAGACCTCACTGATTAAATCTCGAAACTAACCAAACTATCTTCCGTACGATCGCAACACCGGATATGGTGGATGTAAGCTACCAGAAATCAAGTGTGATACATAATACCACCAGAACCTACCATAAAGACGTTTCAACTTCGCCAGTTCACCGACACTACATAACGATCATTTCTTAGCACAGTGAGTCATCCGACGCCATCACCAAATGGATGGATATACCGGCGCTTCGCAAGCGTTAGCTAGTATGGGCTTAGTAACAACATTTTCAAGTCCAGTCAAAGTGGGTTCCCAAAATCGAGGTCCTGAATAACTTGTCCTCTCGAGTTCTTCAGCTTTATAACCCCTATATTTGACCGACACCAAATAGCCCTTGCACGTTATCCAGACATTTCAGGGGTATTTGGCAAGGTTGATCACTAACTATCAATAATTTAAAGTCTCCGGGAATTGACTATCCATCGCTACGATGGATTAAGTCCTTCTTCAGTAATCGCACTCTGGTGGTGGAAGCAGACTCATACACCTCAAAACCCACACCAATTACCCCTGGTATAGTTCGACGCGGTGCATCAGGTCCCTTTCTCTTCAATCCAAAAGTGAATGGCATTTGCAGCTTCCCTACAGACGGCAAGCGATCCTTGCTTGGAAGCGACCTCGAAGTTGCCTGCGTGCTCCCTTATGCTGATATATCCTACTCCGGATCACTGATATGAAGCGAGCTGGATGAAATATTATTATGGTCTACCGCTTGGAAGCTTCGGCTCGACATGATGAAATGTGGCCGGATGTATTTTGGTGGTCCCTCGATGGACATCCAACCCCATCTTCAGGTTGCGAAACCGCCTGTTCTTAAAAGTGACTTCAGGCCAAGATACTCAAGTGACATCACATTTTCTGGTGCCTTCAAGCCAGATTCGACCTAGCTGAGGAGCTCATGAGAAGAGTAGTAGCTGTTGCTATCTCATCACTCTTCATCCACTGGGTTCTGCTGCCCAAATATGTCTGTCTGCAAAACAACCCTCACAGAGTTTTTGTACGTCCCGTAATATTTGGGATTAGCCTTCATGTACAAGTACTACTGTCCTGCAGGAAGGTTGGGTTAACTCTATGAGGAAGCTCCGGCAAGTGACAGTGCCCACTCTATCACATCATCAAAGGCGGCCGAATGCCGTGAAGGGAGCCGGAAAATATGACTTTGGTGGACGTGTACATTGTTTATGGGGTTAGTTCATTTCCATCCATCATTCCTCTTGCGCACTGATGCGGCATGGTAATTGTGCAGTACTCGGTGTTTGCGTTACAAGTAGCCGCCCTGTTTGATCCGTCTGTATTATCCAATATTTCGTCGTACAAAGTCCATTTTAACAGCGAATCCTTTGTTCACATCGCCTCTGGCCAACAAGAACTCGCTTCGACGGTTTCAGAAGCTGGTAAGTATCCACGTAACCATGTGATCCGAAAGAATATCTAGGTTCGGATATTTCCCACTATTCAAGTGTTACGGTTCCCACAACATTAAAAGTGGTTGTTGTGATGCAAAGAAATGAACATTGGAATAACTATCATCCAATGGTGGTGGATTCTATATACATGTAAAACTCTGAAGATTACACACTAAAGTATGCAGCATTACCAAAGGGACATACTGACTCTTAATTGTCTTCTTTCAGAAGGACTCATGTGGGATGAAGTCCCTGAAAACCCTTTTGCATAGCACTGTCGTGAATTTGTTGTCGTTGGGGTCACCATTCGAAGTGATCTCACAGATCTAATGCTTGTCTAGATTTCTGCTGCAGTTATGCGTGGTATACGCGTTAACGACGATTAAAAGTAGATGGTTTCCAAAAATATTTTATGCCTAGATTTCTAAGATACGACTGTAAGGAGGGTCACAGCTTCACACTGAAGCCCTTTAAGTCAGTATTTCATGCAAATTTCTTCACCATTAGGTTCCCTTGCACTGTGAACAAAGTTCTCATTGAAGTCAAGGCCTCCAAGTCAGTCTTCGGATTCTGTCGGTGACTAGGCAAGTTCTTATCCTCCAGAAGCTTCACGAGACCCTTCATAAGTAAAGTTGAGGAGACTTTACCATAAATTCCCACTTTGCAATTACGGCGCATTCCTCTCTGCCAGACACAGTGAGTGCAAGTAAAAGTCTTAGACTATATGATGGCGCCAAATTTATGTTCTTAAGCAGTTGATGGAAAAACCATGTACAACCAACGCCACGACAAAAAAGTCAAGTAAGGATCAGCATGCAAATAGGAAACAAAGTCCTCGTTGGAATTATTGCTTCTTTTCTGCGCTTGCTGCCTTGCTTATCTTTACGTTGTAGAGGAACGTTTCAGTTCTAACTGCTGGATTGGTCTCAGTCAAAAATAACTTATTAAAGAAACAAACCCTCTGTTCGTCGAAGTGTTAGTATGTTCACAGTAACCAACTACAATAGACAGAAACAAAGAGTACTCATTGCACTATAACCTCATCATCATCGCAACCCGGGGTTTGTTGTCTACGAAATTGGCCAGTAAAAGCCAACACTTACTGACCACAATTTTATCACGACCTGTGAAAATGCAGGACAAAATGAACTGGAATTCCGCTTGATGCTGGCAAACAAAATTATCACCTCTGGATGATGGAGTTCAAAAATCCAGATGTTTAGCTTCAAGCCGTATTATACAGTGCCTCTGACTGTTGTGTCATTGACTGACTGTATAGACTCTCCTGTTACCTGTTCCCCTGCTTGACCTCTGACGTCTCTGTCGTGTATCATTTTTCTCATTGATTGATAGATTGGGTCTATCCCTATACATCTGTTAATTGTTGACTGACTGACCGACCTGAATGCCAAGCTCCTAGGAATTCCCTGATATCTTTTGTGTTTCCCCTCTCCGCCTAAAATTTCTACATTGCCAAAATTGATTACATATCGACGTTATTATCCACATGCATTGAGATGAGTGGTGAAATGTCATGATGTTTACCAGGCGATTGGTGTTCATGCAAACGAAGGCGAAGAGAGGGTGACCACTTTGTCCAATGTAGTGTTGACTACAGTTGTTCCAGTTGATTTTGTAAATGATATTCTGTTTATCCTTTCTGGAATTTGTCCGACTGACTATAGCACCTAGGAATGGTGGCTGGTTGCTTGGCTCTTTCTCCATAGTGAATTTGATGTCACTGAAAACGTTGTTGATCAACCTGCGGGAAATTTAGGTGTCATTGTCATCTTGAACAGGGGAAACACAAGGTATATCAGGGAAGTGTTCATGCTTGTATCATACCGTCGCTGACTGGGTCGAACTGATCGGTCTCTACTGAGATATGGGCTCCTGCGCTGATGCCTCTATATTGTCTGTTTCAAACTATACAGTGATGATGGATGGTGGCTAGCAGTGGGATCCAGAATGCACACTTCGTCCTGCTCGGGACTCGTCAGTTGGATGTACCTACCACCCAGTAAGCGATGCTATTCCCGCAGGGGTTTGGACTCGGGACCGATCATCGCAAACACCAGAGAATAGTCCACCATTCCTGTCGCATGAGAAGTGGCTGTCGCGACTCCATGATCTGGCTGTTTAATGAGCCACAGTGACGCAAGGAAATTGACCGCGCGGCGTTTCGAGCAGAACTTATCGCATCACTACTGTGGTATGAATATTAGCAACAAATTCCACTTGATGCATCATCCAGCAAATTATACTGTCACTGTGTACCATATAATTCAATCTGATACGGGACCGAAATGTTCAGACGTGGTCATAAAAATCCAGCGGGGAACTTTAGTGCTCTATAAGGAAGGCTGAATTAATCAGAAAGGCGTCTAACGGCTACCTAAGGGATCCCATACCTACGAACTGACAACGGCGGTCGTCCGTCTGATTTGTGTCCTGACAGTCGCTTGTTTCTAGCCGGTTCCTAATTCAGCAGTCCTTCGACACCAACCCGGCGGTGAACACGGATGGACCGTGTTGCTGTTGGCCATCTCTGGAGGCCGATAAAGTGTTCCCGCCCCTCACGGAGTACCGGTTCGGATTACGATTGCACGTTAGTAAAAGGTGAATGTGCTCACACTGACTCGTGGTTTCTTACGGGAAGCCAGCGAATGGTTCTATCCAAATTAGGCGGACTGCTTCGACTTTAGAGCGGAATCCTTCATCGAATAAGTAGCCCTGAAAACTGCGTTAAAAGCTATCCCCTAACATCCAACCAAGTGATAGTCAGTAGAGGAGCGGCTGCATTCTGCCTGCCCCATTTGCATATTCGCATAATTACCTGCCTAGACTAACACCACCCATCTTCTGATCAGGTTATTGTAATGCTCAGATCTTTATGAAGTATGTGTGCATATTCATTATTTCCATTTTCTAGCCAGATTTTAAATTCGTCGGCGTAGAGAACCATAGGTGTTCCAAACCTAACTTCAACATTTAAAGGATTTCGGACAATCTTCATTGCAGATAACTAAAAATGAAGGAAAGGTTTCATTGGTTTCAACTCATTTCTAGGGTATAACATATTAGATCCTAAGATTTGTTAAGCTCGTTCGGTCGTATGACCTTGTGGCACTTTGTAGGTTGCACAGGAGCGTGGTAAATCAAGCAATGACTAATTACATCTGTGTAATTTTTCTGTTTGTCTTAACCCAATTGTTCAGTTGCTCAGAGATAGGATAATTAACGAGACGCGATTCGAAAATAGCAAGCTGGATGGCTTGGCTGAAAATAATGCGCAGCTACTGAGAAGGTAAATTTACATCATATATATGGAGTTGCGTCGTGAAAGACTATCGTATGAAATAATATATATCCCTTAATGTAAAATAATTTGGGTTTTACCAGGCTTTCACAACGTTTCCCTGTTTGCATGAATTATTTTACATTAAGGGATATAATTCATACGATCATACGATAGTCTTTCACTACGCAACTCCATATATGAAAGAATTTTTTCGAAAATTTTGCTAAGATTTTCCAGTCTATTATAAATATTTTATTTCATGAGGAAATATGTGGTTAAATTCTGACTGCTTTCCTGTGGTGGGTATATTCTCCTGTAGGAGCATATGTATGCATCCAGTTTCAATTATCAGAAACGACCCAGCCGGCAAACACCCTGGGTACAGTTCGATATTTCTGGGTAAATATCGAAGTCAACTTCGGGATAGTAGACCGGTTGTTCTGTGTTAATCCTTTCGTGTGATATCTCTGTTGAGATCCAGTTTTTTCTTGAACGTCGTGACCGAAGGTGCTTATACTACTTGCTGACGGAACGTGTTCCGGTCGTTGAGAACCTATATTCAACTTGTCCACACACTTTGGAAGTAAGCCAACTCCCTAAAGGATGGAAGCGTACCATCCTTCCACCAATCTTCAAGGGAGGAGACCAAGTACTCCATGCAGTTGCAGACCAAGATCGTTACTTCTTAAACTATCCAAGATACTGGAAAGCCTGGTTACAGGTGTTGTTTGGGACTAGCTAAACGGGAGCAACATTGTTCGTTCTACCTATCATGGCTTCAGAACTAGGGGGTTATGTGTCACAAACTTGGTGACTGCTCGGGATGACCGGACCAATAGATGAGACAAAACCCAGTCAGTGTACGACATCTTTCTAGACTTGGCCAAAGCTTTGGATAGCGTCTCACACTGCACCATGCTCCCTAAACTTGCAAAAGTGGGTATCACTGAACCACTCATTGCATGGTGTATAGTATGTCTAGAGGATAGAGGCTTCTTTACTAAAGTAAGCGGAATTCAATAACCTGGAGGAGTGTAAGAAAATGGGTTTATTGTGGAATGATCCTTTGGTCACTTGTATTTTACTACTCACCAATGACCTTCCCGCTAAAATCTCCTCGTCTGTCTTCTTATTTGCCAACGACATCAAAATATGAAGGACAATGGGTAGGAAAGAGGATCCTAGGATGCTCCGAAACCATCTACTGCAGTTAGAGTCCTGATCAGCTGCAAATGTTTTCAGCTTCAACCTGGGGAAATGCAACGTGATGTATCTTCGCACACCGGAAGCAATAAAAATCAACTACACCCCCAAAAAGTGCTAGTCACTAGGGTTCCCACAGAAAGGGACCCAGGACTAAACTTCTCAGATACACTGCATACAAGTATTAACTATAAAGGAATAGCAGCAAAGGCAAACGCCATCTTGCAATGTATAGGAAGGCAGCTTGGAGTGCTAACCCCAGAATTTTGCCCTCATGGTACTTAAAACCTATGTTAGACCACACATATAGATATTCAACGCGATAGCCTCCGCTCTGCTAAGGAGAGGCGTGAGAACTCTTGAGAAGGTACAGAGATGGGTGACAAGATTGGTTGTCACGCTAACAGGCAAAACATATGCGCAACGCCTTAAACAACGCAACTTATTTACATTAGGCTATCAAAGGAAAAGAGGTGACCTAATAACAGTCTACAAGGTCATTCGCTAAGTGGACCACCTAAAACAGTTCAACATTATCTGCTCAAAACTGACAGTCTCGCGGGAACCCCACTCGTATATTCCTCCGGAAGGCAGAAATGAGAATGATGTCATACTTCTCACACAGAATGTGTACCCTATAAAACGCCCTCCCGAAGGAAGCCACAGCTACACCAGTCGACTACTTCGAACGAATACTGGATAAGTATGTGAGAGCAAACGACTTACCACGAACATTCGACAGTAGCAACTGAAGATATACTGATCCACCCCTGTATTCTTCAAACTTAGCGTCTACAATAAGACCCATTCCATGTCTATATCATCACCAGTAACACTTACTTTTCCCTAAGTACTTTTCACTCCTCTTTTAATCATTCCTCACTCGCCCTATTCCTAATACTGCTTTTTAAGTAGTGCTTAACACTTACTTGAATGTCATCATAAAACAGAAATTGCAAAAGGTTAATTAATCTTATCATCCACAACTTTCAAGAAAAAATACCTTCAAATAGATGACCACTGTCTCCAACGCTATGAGCAGGAAAAACATAAAGACTTCTGTGACCACCGAAAGAGAATCACCAAAAGAAGAAATGGGCCTCAGGACATAGAATGGAGAGCCAAAAAATTAAAAGTTTTTCTGCTCCCACTATTGATGTTGGATGTTGTATGAGATCCTGTCAAGAAACGCAGATAAATGCTAATTTGATTCGATTGCAGTTTTTGAACTAGCTTAGGATGTCCTCAAGAATAGTCAATCCTAACAGGAGAGAAAGGATATGACATATCAGTACCAAAGTCAGTATTACTGGTATGGGATGCCAGTATGAAATCACCCAGTTACCTACGGTAAGATATCGTGAATCGGTTTAACCAACTTAGTCATTCCTCATAGGGTAGATTTGAAAGGCCTTTCACAAGCTTGGTAACTGCCGTTTCAACACGTTCTAGTAAGTCAGCATCCTTTTTTAGGTATGAACTAACTGCCTGAATGCAATATTCCGAGTGAAGTCTAACGTAAGTAGAATAGAGTATTCTGGTCAAAACTTTTGAAAGCTTTTCAAATGGACCATAATACACGGAAGCCCTCTGCTGCAGCTGCATTAGTGTGCCAACATTTTCAAATTATGGCTTATAATGACACCTGTCTTTCAGTTTCAAGATAGGGAGTAGTGGTTTGCCATCAATGGAATACCAGAAATGATTGCTATGTTCATTGTACATTATTGCACGTTGACTAGAGTTGATTTCTAGGCACTAACGTTTGGACCAACCTACCAGTTCATCTTAATTTGCTTTAAGTACATACGTATCAGTATCACCAAGTATGACTCTCCCAACTTTTACATCATCGGCAAATAGCTGCACCGAAGAGTTGACCATTCGTGGTAATTCGTTGAGACACAAAATAAGTAGGGGGACTATGAGTGTTCCTTAAGGAGATTCACTCATCACAGGTTTCCATTTGAACAGTGTCTCATTAACCCTCACTTTTTGCCTTCTATCCTGCGGAAATCCCATAATTCAGGCTTGCAGTGCAGCACTAAACCCAAAGTCTGAGAGCTTTCCCAGTAAATTGACATGAGATATTTCATCGATGGCTTAAATGAAGTCTCTGAACGTGGCATCTATTGGCAGCTTGAAATCACAAGCTGCAACCCATTCCTCCTTCGCGATGAGGAGGCTTGTCAAACAAGTGTCCAGTATGTAAACTATGTTGCTGTGGTGCCAAAAGATTATTTGATTCAACATGGTTAATTAACTTGCCACTAGTTAATTTTCGCAAACCTCGATAACTATGCTAGTTAGATTCATAAGGCGATGGCTAGCCACCAGCTGGCGACTATAGGCCTTAAAAACTGGGATGATTATGACATCTTTCCAGTCTCTAGGGTGGCGAGTTTGCGATAAGGACATACTGAAAAGATTAACGATAGGCTTGGTAGCAACGTCTGCTAACAAAGCTAGCAATCTGGGGTGCAACTCATCGGGACTCCGGGAGTTTCCAGGTTAAAGATTAATGCACAACTGGAAGACTGCTTCCTTCCTAATGATCACAGTATCCGTTGGTGGGGCGGTGCTGACCCCGCCATTGAACACTTCCCCACCATGATCTACAGAGAAGACTGAAGTAATCCGATAGGAATTCAGCTTTGAAAAGATTAAATTCCGCAAGGTTATCAAACGTTTCATCTGTCACCAGAACAGGAATTCCACATTTCCTGTTGGTCTTTCTTATGAATGCGAACAGTCTCTAAGGTCAGTTTTGACAATCACTGACCAGCTGTTTCTCGCAAGACATTTGAGACTGTGTAATCAGAGTTTCACACAAATTACGGACTTTATTGTACCCAGTTTTAAATGTTTCTTGGTCAGTTTCGTTAAACAAGTTCCATAGACATTTCCTCGGTCTTAATAGTTTTTGAGTGTCGTTACCAAATCACGAGGAGTGGTGTGAGGATCTTCCTGGGATCGACCACGGAATAAATGGCGTTGTTACCTCTTCAAATAGAGTTCTAAACCTATTCCAGGCTTTCTTGATTTATGAGTCCTTGTCCATAGTCCAATCCTTACTGACTGCTCAATTCCTTATACTTGAATTGTCTATGCACTACACATTAGGTCTACGGAAAGTAGTCATAATCAAACTCAGACGTTCGGAAACCGAAATTCAGCACTACTCGATCTCTGCTAGCCAGTGGAGGGAAGTATCGCAGGTCCATAATATCTTCACATTAGTGGGTTAAAACTAAATCTAATAACGATGTTTTGTGTTCAAACTTGTATCATGCTGCATAAGTTTTGTTTTGAACCATAACAGAGTTTGGTACCATTAAAATTAGGTCATTTCCAAAGCAACTGCCCGAGACTTAGACTTTAAGCGCCATTCAGTTTATTTATGAAGCGTTCAGATCTCTAACTATTAGACATCTATTAATTCTACTTCACTTACGCATATGAGTTAGCATGAAGTCATTTGTAAGGCAAGATGGACTACGGTAAACTACTCCAATAGTACATAAACCTTGATTTGACTTCAGTTCACAAATGGCCACTTTACGAACACCGCATTCATGTGCTTCTGAAGTGAGTGATCATATATGGACATCATCACGAACACAGAGTAGTATACCGCCACCTTTGTGACCTACAACCCTATCTGTCTCATATACTGTTAGAAGAGGCGTAAAATCGAAATCCTTTATTAGCCAGGTTTCAGTAGCCACCACTAAAGGAGGGCTTAATTCATAGACTAAAGTCTTAGGGTTTGTCATTTCATTTCTAACCCTGCAAACATCAGT